CCGTTATATCTGCCCCCATCCCAAAAGTTCTATTTAAGGTTGTGTCTTCAGAAGTGGGGACGTTTATGGAAATAGTGACAGGGTTACATTGATACAATTTGCAATCAGGTGGGGGAATTCCTTTTGAAAAGTGGATTTTGGGTTTTAAACTTGGATGTGTACCCCCTTCTGACGTCCAGCCTTGGTACTGGGTTGTCCAGAGAACATCCAGCCAGTGGCCGCAGGGACCTGTCCCCCAGAGAGCCCTCGTGCCCCAAACCCCGGGGTAGGGACAGAGGTACTTGTCAGCTCCGGAAAGCTGCCTTTGGCTCTCCAGGCTTCCGCACGGTATCACCCGGCAAGCATCAAGCGTGAGGGTTTGCGGCGCGGGGGAACTAGGAATGCTGACTGTGAAGAGACCCGCTGACAGCTGCAAAAGGGAAGCGAGGACGACGCCACCCAGACCTCTCGGAAGGTTCCTCTGGTGGGGGTGGATCCAGGCCTGGCCGCCCATCTTCCCTCTGGGGGACAGACGGCCCTTTTCACCCGTGCGCGGTGTGCCCAGCCCTCCTCGGCCGCGTGGATGGACGGCTGTCCCTGAGGTCCGAAGCACTAGCAGGGGTTCCTCCCAGGCTGGTTCGAGCTTCTCTTCCCTCCGGCCTTTGACCAGCACGTCCTCTCCAGGTCCATGGGGGTGCACTGGAAACTCAAGGTGGCGTGTGCACGGAAGTCCCTCTCCCTGAGAAAAAACAGAGTGGGAGACAAACCAGGCATACAGTTCTTAAGAAACCAGTCTTTGGTTCTGAAAGTGGGAAAGTCCAGTGGTTGAATTCAGGTGGGGTAACCTGTAAAGCACCTCATAGGGGGGTAGGCCTATGTCTTTTCGAGGGGCCATCCGGATCCTTAAAAGGGCTATAGGCAAACATTCAGTCCCAGGTAACCTGGTTTCCAGGTGATTTTTCAAAATCTGGTTCATTCTTTCTGACCTTTCTGAGGAAGGAGGGTGCCAGGGGGTATGGTTCTCCCATTTAATTCCCCAACCCGGCATGAGTCCTTTGATGATATTAGCAGGACAGTGACTCCTGTCATCCGAATCATTGTTTTCGATCAGACCAAATCGGAGCACAGTATGTTCCATCAGGACTTTGACAACATTATTAGCAGTTGCCCCAGGTAGAATCGCTTCTACCCAATGAGATGGTCTACGATTACAAGGTATTTCAGATGCCTGTGCTGGAGCATTTCTGTGTAGTCAATCTGAATGCTTCGGAATGGCGGTAACCCAGGATTCCTCCCCCGAGGGCGCCTGTCCTAGAGCTTGCGTCTTAGTTTTCCTGCATGTCATGCATCCCGCAGAGGTTTGCTGGGCTGACCTGTGGACACCCACGCAACCACAAACGCGAGGAACGCGGCACAGGTGCCTGGGGACCTCAGTGGCTACTCTGGTGGAGCTGGGTTAAAATTTCTCTCATTATCAGTTTGGACAGCATGTCCCTTCCATCGGGCAATAGTCCTTTGCCCTCTGAATTTTCTTCTGCCCCTACTTTCCTCCGTTGTTCTTTTTCTGCTGGGGTGAAAACAGGGGCTGCAGCAGGGCAGGGGGATGGGGCGGTAAGAGGAATACTGGCGTTTCTGAGGACAGGCAGCCTGCTTAGCTACTCCGTCTTCTAGGTTATTTCCCAGGTATCCAAAGGAGGACCCTTTTGATGGCCTGGAACATGAACTGTAGCTATTTCTTCTGGTAACATTAGACTTTCCAAAACCTGGGTTATTAACTCTTTACGCATGAAGTTCTTCCCATCACTATTAATTAGTCCCCATTCCATCCAGATTTTTCCCAAGGTATGAACTACTCCAAAAGCATATTTAGAGTCGGTGTAGATGGCCCCTTCTTTCTTCGTTAAGGATTTTAGGGCTTGGTTAAGAGCATATAGTTCACGGGTCTGGGCTGACCACTCACTTGGGAGTCTTCCCGACTCTATTATGGTTAACTGAACTCCGTACGCCATGGAATATCCGCTATGCCTTTCTCCCTTTATTACTCAGGAAGACCCATTCAATTTAAGACCCCTCTGGGAGGGGGTTTCTCTAAGGTCTGGCAGGACTTTGGTTTGGCATTCTATTAAATCCACACAGTAGTGCTCAGTTGGGACATTTCCTTCCCCTCCAAGTATGAACTCGGCGGGATTTAAGCTGCCACCTGCGACGAGTGCTCAGCCATCTCCTTGTAAGAGGATGGCTCCATGCTTTAAGACCCTGGAATCCGCCAGCCACCTCCCCACCTTTCAGTGGAGGACAGTTCTGAACTGGCGGGGCGCGCCGGCAAGCAGACTCCCCGAAGGTTAAGTTTCCTGCCTTCTTGCACCTGGCCAAGGATGTCTCTCTGCACAGTGGCGGGAGGGCACGTTAGAGAGGAGCAGGCAGCTCCTGAGTCAACAAGGAAGGTGATTTCCTCCCCTCGGAGTTCCACCTCCAAATTTATCAAGGGCTCTTGGTAGGACCCTTCACACAAAAGAGCCCCCGACTCCCCTATTCTTCCTCAAAAGCCATGAGGTCTATTACCTTTTCCTCTTTCTTCCAGTCCCGACACTCCCCTTTAAAGTGTCCTTCCTTCCCACACTTGCAACATTTATCCTCTCCCCTTCCCTTGGGCCACCCTTTTCCTTGTCTCCCCTGGAAACGCTCTCCGTGGGGCGCCTTGGGTCTTTGATTTCTAGGGGCCTTGTTGCCTCAGGTTGCTTTTTCTACAACTGGGAGCACAATCTTTACCTTCTGTTTCTGCTTCTCCTCCTCTCATCTCACATACACTTTCTGTGCCTCTCTGAGTAGGTCCTCTAAATTCCTATCCTGCCAACCCTCTAGTTTTTGCAGCTTCTAACAACAGACCAACTGTTGGTCACAAAACATAGCTTTAACATCCCTTGGCCTAAGGGGTCATTGACATTCAATCCCGAGTACCTTCTCAACTCTTCCTTTAACCTTGTTAAAAACTCTACGGGTCCTTCCTCCCACCCTTGTTGAATACCGAATGCCTGTCCCATGATTTGAGTACGGGGAACTGCTTCCCTTTGCCCTGTCAACTATCAAATTTCTAAGATCTCTCATGCTGTTTCTATGGGCTTCATTATGATTGTCCCACTGGGGCTCCTGATGTGCAAATTTCACCGCTGTGGGCACCTCGCTAGGGCCTGCCGGGTACTCGTGTTCCCAGATGGCCACTGCTGTCTCCTAATCCTCCTGTCTCTTCCCCAGAAAACAGAACTCTCAGGGATCAACATGAGCTCGGCCCATGTGTGCATCCGGGGACCTAGAAACTGATCCAACTGATCTGCAACCCCATGTGGGTCTAACAGAGGTTTTAGCTCTTTCTTTAAATTTCTGACTTCCAAACCAGCAAGGGGAGCATTAACAAACCCTGCCACCTAGGGGGACTTCCGAGGTAGGTATAAAGCCTGGGACTTTTCTCCTCGGGAAAATACTGGATGTCCTTACATTGTTCTATTTTTTTTTCTTAAATTAGGGAAGGTATAGGGTTGGGTAAGAGCTGGGGCCCTTGTGGTGGTTCAGGACCCATCTGCTCCCTTCAGGGGGCCAGACAAAGGCCGGCCATTTTGAGAACCCTCAGCACGTGGTTTTTCAGGGTTGGGGAGGGTAGAGAGGAAAGGGGTCTCAAGGGGGAGAGGGCTTCTCTTTTTCCTCTTTTCCTCTTTATTGTCTCTCGCCTTAGGAGGGAACAAAACAACAGGACCCTTTCTCCAACAGAGGGCACGGACAATTTCTTCCTGAGAGACAGGACTCTGCTATTAACACGTTCAATTAAAAGTTGGCAAACCCAGTCTTCCTCGGAACCAAATTTGGACCAAGCCACAGATGGTTTAAGAATGGGTTCTTGTCTTCAAGTGAAACAACAATATTTTACCATCTGTTGTTTCTTTTCCCCTCTAGTTTGGGCACTGTCATTCCAATATTTTAGCACTAGTCCTAGCGGGCTATCAGAAGGAGTTTTATCTTTACTGCTATTTTCTCTAGAGAGTTCCTCACTTGTGTCATTTCCCATCCCGGCTTCCCGGCTGTGTGTGGGTCCTGATCTAGAGCTCCAACACCCCTCCTGGAGGTTTCCCGCTTCCCTCCCGGGAATCCAGGCTCCTCTTACCGGTGGCATGTGGGTATAAACCCCGACTGGGATCGAGTTCAAGACTAGAAACCGCCTTCAGTGCACGAGGCAGCCGCGGAACCGCGGGAGCAGGACTGCGCCATCCCTTCGTGCCAGAGGCACGTCCCGGCCACCGAGGAAATACTTAGTGGCCCCCGCGGTGTCTTACCTTGGCCTGTGCAGAGCTACCTGGCCCCGCGGTTCCTGCTTAGGCCTGCTCCCCGCGCTGCCGGGAGCCCGGGTTCGGGCCCCGCTCTGGGGAGTCTCGGTCACCTCGAGCCTGAGGGCTGCCACAGGGAGGTAGCAGGAGGCGTCTGTCTCCCCAGAAGCGGGGTCGAGTCCTCCTTCCACAGGGACGGGCGACCCCGCGAGCCCCAGACCGTGCGCGGTACCTGCGGAGTCGCCAAGCAAACAGGCTGGAGCCGGCCTCGGCCAGGAAACTGCGTCCTTTGCTTCTGGCCAGAAGGGCGGCGGGGAGCCAGCCGGGCGCTGCGAGGGGACAGTCACCCCTTATTCCCGGCGGACCGGCCGCACAGCCCGGCCCGGCCCACTGGCCACGGCGGGAAACACGGGAAGGGGGCGGGGCTCTCGGTGCGGCGACCGCTACAGGTAGCGGGCAGGTCAGGCACAGCCAGGTGCGCGGACGAGTCACCGCTGGACACTGCGGCAGGAAAGACTGGGCCAAGGTCACCCCGCCCTACACCCCAACCACGCCGCGCCAGCCCGACCCCCGTGCCGCTTCCAACTCGGCCCCGCCCCGTGCGCGTGACGCACAAGGCCCGCGCCGCACGCCGGGCCACGTCGCGCCGTCATCAGGCCGCGCCGCGTGGGCGTGTCCGGCGTGGGTCCCGCCGCCCGAGCCCGCGCCATGGCTGCCTCCGCCGCGAGTCCCCCAGAGGTGATCCGCGCGGCGCAGAAGGACGAGTACAGCGCGGGCCTGGCGGAGCGGCGGCGGGCGGCGCGCTGCACTGCCTGGCGGGTGAGGGCGGGCTTGGTGGCCGGGGTCACCTTGCGACAGGCCTGCGGCCTGGGGCCCCGGCAGCCCAGTGGCTGTGGCGGACGCCTGGCTCGTCTGTCCGGCCGGGCCGCCCGGTGCCAACCCCCGCGCAGCCGCGCGCCCTGCGGCCCCCTGTCGGCCCGCCTCTCCGGCGTGAGCTGACGGAGAAGCGGAGCGCCCGGGCGCCCGCAGAGTCCGCTTCGGGGCGGGCGGGCGCTTGTCGGGGGGCGTCGCCTCCGCGCGAGCGGGACATGGGGAGGCGGGGCGGCGGGCACACTCCGGGCGGCAGCCAGGCCCCCTCCTCAGGAGGGCCGCGGGTGCCGGGCTGGGCTGCCTTTGGCAGGTTTTGAGCAAGGAAGTGACGATCAGAAAATCTTTTTATACAGGTATTTTACAAAACACTCTACACCTACTGAGCAGCAGGCACTGTTCTGGGTGCTTTTGCAAATACTAAATATTAACTCGTATAATCCTCAAACACGGGTAGGACTTACTCTGCTCACAGATGGGCAAATTGAGGTTCCAAAGAGATCTCACAACCAGCTGTTGGAGACCTGAGATTTGATGCTAGACAGTTGGTCTAGCTGTGGTGTCAGTCACTACCCTAGACTGTCTTCCATGTGGCCCTGTAGGCTCTAGAACAGTTGCCCAGAGCGATCCTGGAGCCAGAGATGGCTGCAGGTGGGAGGTCCTTAGGAGGCCCTGTCTGCAGCCCAGGCAGAGGCAGGTGAGAGGGACACAAGGTGGTGCCTCCTGAGACAGAAAAGCCCAGTGGATGGCACGGGAGGCGGGTGAGAGACTGGAGTGTGGCTGCTGCAGTCTTAGCTTCATGGAAGGATTGTCGCCCCTAGTCCTTAGAGGATCCCCACCACCTCCCCAGGAATAATGGTGTCTATTTATCCTCTTAGGTGCGAAGAAGTGGCTGGAGTGGAGGAAAGAGATTGAGCTGCTCTCAGACGTGGCCTACTTTGGCCTCACCACACTTGCTGGTAGCAGGACTTTGGGACTGAGGGGCTTACCACACACACCCAGTCCAGAAGACAGTGCAGGGTGGGGACGCTGCCAGGCAGAGTGGGAGTCCCTGGACCAGAGAGGGAGGTGCTGAGACCCATTCCAGAGGGAGGCCAGGCCGCAGCCCCAGGCAGGGGCCTCTCCTTTCATCCTTTTTGTGCCCCCAGGGACCTTGGTCCAGGGCTTTGGCCAGGGTGCTATTGGGACCTGTTTTTCAGTCCCGGTAGCACAGGTGGGTCAAAGTGGTGAGGCCCTGGTGGAGCAGGGGAGGGTCTTGGCCAAGGCTGGTTGTCATCCTTCGGAAGGAAGAGTGGGCACAGAGGCCTCAGGGTCACCAGCTCCAGCTCAGCATCCAGGAGGGTCATTGAGCACCTCCTAAGTGCCAGCCCTGTTTGTACAAAGGGGTCACCCAAGGGTGTCCAGCCACCATGGAGTTCCCACTCTGGTCGGTGGGACACAGACTGTGTCGCACACAAGGCATCTTGGGAGGCGATAAGCTCATTAGAGAGAAAAGCTGTGTCTGGGAGACGAGCACTTTCCAGACAGGTGAGGCAGTGGTCAGGACAAAGGCCCTGAGGAGGAGGTGTCCTCAGTGACCCCAAGGGACCTGTGGACTCTGTAAGCCTTTTGCTTTCCCTCTGAGAGGCAGGGAGCATCACAAAGACATGGGCAGGGGAGAAGCCAACCGCTGGCCACCAAGACCACACCACAGGAGACAAAGATGGAAGCAGAGAGACTGCCCAGAGGCTGCCGAAGTCCACCGTGGGGAGGAAGTGAGATGTGCAGGGAAGAGGAGTCCAGGGTGCTCCACGGTTGAGCCTCTGAACTGGAGGGCCAGCGTCACCATCCACAGAGCTGCGAAGTGGGGAAGCAGGCTTTTCTAGGTGGGGGGTTAGAAGCTCAATGTTGGCAGTGGGCAGTGTGAGGTGTTCATCAAAATCCAGATGACACTGTCAGGTGGGCAGCCCTGGGCCACGGCGTCAGTCCAGGTGGCGTTGGCCGTGTGGCTGATGGAGAGTCATGGGGCTGGGTCCTATGGCTTGTAGGTAGAGGAGGAGCATCTGAGGAGAAAGGGGAGGGCCAGAGTGGAGAGGACAACACAAGGTCCCGAGAGCCAAGGGCGGCAAGAGTGTCCAGCAGTGTCACATGTGCCTGGGGTCACAGTGAGACCACAGTAGGTTAAGTAGCGGGAGGTTGTATTGGCCAGGCAGGGGGCCGTGCTAGAGCCAGCGGACGTGCGTTCAGGGGCAACAGGACAGGCTGTCGATTGAAACCAGGAGCCGGCCAGGGTAAGCTGCAGGGGCGCCAGGAGCCTGTCCCTGTGTCGGGCACTCCAGGGGCCCAACACTCGTCCTCTTCTTCTCAGGCTACCAGACTCTCGGGGAGGAGTATGTCGGCATCATCCAGGTGGACCCATCGCAGAGGCACGTGCCCTCTCAGCTCCGCCGCTGCGTGCTGGTCACAGTGCATGCCATCCTGCCCTACCTGCTGGACAAGGCCCTGCTCCCCCTGGAGCAGGAGCTGCAGGCTGAGCCCCCCGACAGCAGACGGCCCTCCCAGGGGAGCCTGGTGCTTGCCGGGCGTGGGCGCCCTGGGGTGCGGCGCTGGGTGCGGCGCCACACAGCCACCCTGACGGAGCAGCAGAGGAGAGGGCTCCTGCGGGCCATCTTCGTCCTCAGACAGGGCCTCGCCTGCCTCCAGCGGCTCCACATCGCCTGGTTTTACCTCCACGGCGCCTTCTACCACTTGGCCAAGAGGCTCGCCGGGATCAGTTACGTAAGTAGCAGTGCTGAGGGCGCGGCCACTCTGGTCGCTTCTGGTGCGTATGCAGAGCTGGTGCCCTGGGGCCGGCACTAGCTGACACGCCACAGAGCTAGTGTTCAGCATCAAGGCTAGAACCAAAGTCCTCTACGTGAAAAGAAGTGGGTTTTGTTATGTTTTGCTAAAAGACCCAAGGAATTGCAGTTTCCACAAACCCTGAGCATGGAGTGAGTCTGTCTTCCCATGGGCAGCATCTGCGGGGCAGCCTGGGCTGGGGCACAGCCATGGTGCCAGGGCCTGTGCTGGGCTCTTTACTGACCGAGGGGCTGTTGGTCACACTTGAGACGATTCCTAAGTACATATGACCTATGAACGTCCACTTCCCTGCTGTGGGACACAGGTAGCTTCTCCCCACAGCGCGGGAGCAGACTCCAGCCCGGTCCCAGCCCTCAACCCTCGCTGCCACAACCCGGCTCCTGGGCCCCTGCCAGCAAACTTGTAGCTGCCCTGAGGAAGGGGCAGGGTCTTGGGCTTTGGTCCAGGGGTATTTTTCAACAGTGGCCCTCACAGTGACCGCATGGGCCTTGTCACCACCAGCATCCCCATGGGCTTCCCTGGCTGGTGTCTGACACCCTTGCCTCCCCCTACATCCTGTGCCACCGGCACTGCTGTGTGCCATGCTGCATGAACTCCTTTCAGAACAGCCTCCTGGGACCCCCCTTCCTTCCACCACAGTGCCACCCTGGGCCCCACCCCACCCCAAATGAGGCCACCGTGGCCATGGTCACAGAGCCACTGGTCAGGTGTCAACCCTCAGCAGACACAGACCAACGAGCATCCGCTAGCCCATGATGCACTCGGTACTGTCAGGGTGTTCGCTGAGCTTTTACAACACGGGCCCTGAAACGGGGCTCAAACCCGACAGGGCCCTCCCTCTCCCAGGGCAGTGGGAGGTGGCTGGCTCCCAGCACACAGGTGGCAGCACCCGCCACCTCCACGTGTGGCTCCCAGCTCCCAGCCAAGGCTTGTCTGGCTGACCTGTGTCCATTTCCTGGACAATGGGATATAACCAGAAGCTGCATGTATCACTAGCTACAGGAGAGGTTGGAACAGTGTCCCCTGAGGGGCCATGTGCCTTGCAAAAAGTGGGGGCTTCTGTCCCTGCAGCAGTAGCCAGTGGGCAGCATCTGAGCCTACGGCTGCCTCCTCCCTGCTGGGGCTTCCTTGCTGTTCCTTTTCTGGGAGGCAGGCCCTGGACACCCCGAATCCTGCATGTTCCCCGGTCCATCCAGCCTCGTGCTCGGATCCTGTGTGTGCTGGTGACCCCCAGCTCAGGCTCCTCCTTCACTCAGCTGCCCAGCGGGCACCTCGCACTCCCCACACTGTCCCCAGCTTGGTCTTTGCAAGGCACCCTGGGGTCGGGGAGAGGCATTGCCCCCCATTGCTCAGCGCTTTGTGCCAACTGAGTTCAGGGGTGGACACCAAGCCAAGTCCCTTCAGGGACCTGACAGGTGTGGGGTCCATCTGCTTGGACAGCTCCGCGTGCGACACCTGCCTGGAGAGGACCTGAGGGCGCGTGCGAGCTACAAGCTGCTGGGGCTGGTGTCCCTGGTGCACCTGGTGCTCTCCATGGGGCTACAGCTGTACGGCTTCCGGCAGAGGCAGCGTGCCAGGAAGGAGTGGAGGCTGCACCGCGGCCTGTCTCACCGCAGGTGCGTGAGGGGCTATGGCATCCCTGGCACGCTGTGAGGACCCCCGGGTAGGGCGCTCTCCACATGATTCTGTCCCCCGTTTCCCAGGAACTCCTTGGAAGAGAGAGCAGTTTCCAGAAACCCGCTGTGCACACTGTGCCTGGAGGAGCGCAGGCACTCGACGGCCACGCCCTGCGGCCACCTCTTCTGCTGGGAGTGCATCACCGCCTGGTGCACCACCAAGGTGGGCACCGCCCAGGGCCTGATACTCCGCCTGGCTCTGAAACCTCTCAGTCTGGGGTGGGGGTGGGCATCTTTTCAAAAGCCCCCAGGTCAGTCAGCTATGGGGCCGTCTTTGGGGCTGAAGTTCCAAATTGGCATGTTGAGGCTTTGCTGAAAGCAGCTGTAGCCCTCAGAGGCCCTGGGAATGCACCCCAGCACGCCCTGCCTCCTGGAGTCCACGCCACACTCGGGATCCCTGGCACATTTACACACCTGCCTGGCCTCGTGCCCACGTGAGACCCTCTGTTTCCAGCAGGACAAGTGCCCGCAGTGGTAGCGCACACACTCCTCCCCTAAGTGTCCTGGCCCGGGGAGGGAATGCCCAGCAGGGTGAGCAGGAGCCCGGCTGCCTGGGTGCCAGCAGGAGGGAGTCCATTCTCGGAGTGGGCTTCACGAAACAGGATGCGCACGTGGCATTCATCCCTCCAGGCATCTGCCCATGACACTCAGTGGTGCCACTGTGCTCTCACTGAGCGAGTTCACAGAACTCCTGTGTTCTTTTCTGCACACACGGTTGGTGTTGGTAAGTCCCGCTTCCCCTCAAGGCAGCTCATCCGTGCAGATGTGGACAGGAAGGCAAAGCCTAGCGGGAAGGGAGCAGAACAGCACCCACCACCCCATGTCTCTCACTGACAAAGCCTGAAGCCCTAATCACGAAGCTGCTGTGGCTGGTGGCCCTCCGAGCTGCCCGCCCAGGTGTGCAGGACACAGACATGGCAGAGCTCAGCTGCCAGGAGGGCCGTGGCCAGTGACCTCTTCTCGCCTGTTCTGAAATGCCCAGCAGAGAGGTCCCTGGTGCCTGGGGCCACAGGTGTTGGGGATGGGTGAGGCACCCCTGGTTCGGGGACCGAATTCATGGCATGGGATTCAGGCTTTCTGGAAAAAGGCTTTTTCTAGGTCATAAGTTGAAGGAAATAGAACTTTTTATATTCTGCATATGGCCATAGAACAAACAGGGCAGGGGACAGAGCCCAGCCCCAGTGGCCACAGCCATTGTGACTGCCCCTCCCCTCCACAGATGGAATGTCCCCTCTGCAGGGAGAAGTTCCTCCCCCAGAAGCTTGTCTACCTGCGGCACTACCGCTGACCTGGCGCCCAGATGCATCCAGAAGTGGATGGCGAAACTCAGGAGTCTTTGAATATCGAGGGGAAAAGTTTTATCCTCAAGATTAACTTTACTTGCACAGAAACTATAAATTCTCACATTTTCTGGTTTTTTGTCACATCAGAGACCCTGCTAGCCACCACCCAGGGCAGAGGCGGGAGGAGTGTCTCCCACTCCCCCGTGTGGAACAACGTGGTTGTTCTTCAGGAATTGCACTTACTGGACAAGGTTTTAGGTTTCCCTCCCCCAAACCATACTCCTCTCAGGAGCAGACCAGAAGAAAACTTTACTCACTTAGGAGAAAATGATGCCTACATCCAGGTGTGGCCAGGCATTGGACTGAATGTGCACCGCAAGCTGGGACAGGCGAGGGGACGTGAGTTTGCTCCAGCCAGAGTCCCACGGGCAGGCCCCACCCACTGCCCAGGAGGCTCCTGCAGGCAGAGCTGTCCCCAGGGCTTGCTGTCAGGACCACATGGCATGGAAAGAAACAAGCTGAGGGTTAACATCTCTGTGAAATGTTTGGCACGTACCTTTTAATACACGTCAAGTCTGTGTCCAGCTCTAGAGAATGGAACTCAGCATCTGGGCCCTAGCACACGTAGAGGGACCGCTTCCTGCCTGGGCGGCAGAGCCCCTCAAGTGGGTTTCATTTTCTCATCTCCCAGCCCGCAATCTCAGATGCCAACAGCTCCGAGGGAAGGCTGCCAAGTCGGCCATGCCCTCTCCTGGAGGCCGGGCGGGCACGAGGTCACTGCTGTGCCCAGCCCCCTCGGCTCAGCCCCAGCCCACTTCCCGCCTCTGGTGTTTCCAGGTTTTAAAACTGTTTAACTCATGCCAGAGACAGAACTTTGCTGTAGGCATCTTTAAGAAACTAATTCCACAGAAATGTTGGTATGTTAACAAGACTGAACTGAAAAAATCTCATAAAACATGGTGTGAAAATGCCCGTCAGGATCTGGGAACCTCGGCAGGGCTCAGCCCAGCCAGCAGCACTGGCTTCGGCAAGGCCTGTTCGAACCGTTTCCTAGTGTCTGCCTTAGAAACAGATGCCTCCGTACCCCCGGGTTAGCCACAGCCAGCTTGCCAGAGACAGGCCCCGGGAGAGGCGCCGCAGGCTGCGGGCGGGCGGCCATATGCCTCCACGGCTACCACAAGCAAAGTCTGTGGGAGAGCGCAAAGCTCGGTGCCACACGCCCCATCTTCAGCGCCCAGTGCTTTGCTTCACACTACGCCCCAGCCAAGCGTGCATTTCCTGCCTCATCTTGGGCCTGAGCATTTACTGGGAAAACTGCAAAAAACATTCTGAGTTTCAGGATCCCAAGTGCTTGAACATGGCAACAAAGGCACCGATTTGCAACATCACTTGAATACGAAGGGTCAGGCATTCAGAAGGGCTCTTACGGCCTCGTGAGAGAGGAGCCCAGTTTCGGACACACAACACTGGCACGAGAGCGTCCAGAGAGTGAACGTTCAGAGTCAAACTGCAGGATGGGTGCAAAGCAGCGCCCGGAGTGGGGAGCGTCCCAACAGCCAGAGATCCAGAAGGAAAGACCTTTGCGTTTCGGTGTCTGCCCGTGACCGCAGCCGTGCTGCTCGGCTGTTGGCAAAAACGGTTCACTTTTCAGGGAGGCCAGAAGGAAGCTGGGCTTTCTTGTGTGCAGCAACTGTAGCATGTTAGATAAAGACCACACAAGAAAGGGGACACTGTCTTTAATAAAGGTGGAATTTAGAAAATCACTTAGTAAAATGTTGAAGAGTATTTTTTTATCACATCAAAAAAGTTGGCATGCAGGTGGGTTCTGTTCCCTGCGAAGGCGAGAAGCTGAGTTCAGACCCACAGAGCTGCTCTGACCAGTTCTGCTGTTTCCTTAACGGGGCCACCGCATGGCAACAAATTTAAATTAATCAAAAACAAAACAAACTCTACGTATCAAAGAAATGTGTCAAAATAATCTCAAACAATTAAAATATAATATATATATTTATAATTCCAGGCCCTTGAAAGCAATCATGGTAGTTAAGAACAAAGTTTTGAGTCATTAAGGTAGAGGCCAACTTTGAACATCTCTAGTGAGATGAAATTAGGAAACTGGCATTAGAACCCCACAGTTAGTCCTTTCCAACATGCAGGAACCAGGCTGGCATCGTCCCTCCGGTTCAGCGGAGTGGCCCCGGTGCTCCTCCTTGGCGAGCCTCACTCCTGTCCACCCACCTGGCACCACGGTGGGGACGGCCACCCGCCCCCTTGCTCCAGCAAGCCGCCACCCGCCTGGCCTCCCGAGCCTGCGGCTGGTTTACTAAAATCCCATCGTTAGAAACACTTGAGCATCACTGGAAAAGAAATATGCGATTTGGTTTAAATGCCAGTTTCTTCAAGAACCTGATATTTCAGTTACAAATAATTGAAGATCCTTTTTAAAAAGAAAATTCGACTCCCTCGTAATCAACTACTTTATGTGAAGAAAAAAGGCATTGTTACAATGGCTCAAAACCGTTCTTCCAATGCGTGTGACAGACTCAGTCCGGCTCTAACTAGCAAAGGCCTTGCCCACGTCCTCCTTCCCTTTGTACTTCCTCTTCCCGTGTGTGAATGGTATGTACCGGTATTTGATCATGTGCTGGGAAAACAAACAGACAGACTGGAGTTACTTCAAAACAGTTTCCTGATCACACTTTCCCCAAATCTTGAATAGCCAAAGCCCACCCATCTTTCCTACATATCAGGTGAATGAAATCAGGACTCCAGTAACATGTTTCCCGTCTCCCTCCACCCAGTGAAACCTCCCACTGCCCAAACGATCTGGCCTGAGGCCCAACTGAGATGAGACCCTGTGGCTCTGGGAGACACTTCGTGAGCCCTCCCTGCTGCACAGCAAGAGCTGCAGGGGCGTGAGGCGGCCCAGGGCCCTGTGCGGCCGATGGCCACGGTCTGGGTTAACTGCACAGGGCCCTGCGTGCTCCCACTGAGAGCAGCTGCTGCGGCTCGCAGACCCTGGCCTGGCACAACCAGGGCTTTCCCATTGGCTCTGGGGATGGGAAGTGTCTACTGCAAGACCCCGAGAGCCCGCTCGCTGCGACAGCTGAGCCTGCACGTTTGCATCCACTAAACGTGGGGGACGTGGAGCACTGCACTGCCACCCACGACACAGCACCGCCCAACAGCTCTAGTCCACGCCACGCAGACTGCCCCCGCCCGCACAGCTCATCTGCACACCGCTGCCCAGTGCTGCTGAGGTGCCCGACGTGCGCGCCATGCAGCGCCTGGCGGTTACCTTTATCTGCCTCTTCATCGTGATACAGAAAAGCATGATGAAGTACATCACCAGAATCGGCCAGAACACCGGGACGTTGAACGCATCAAAGAAGGTGCAGATCATGGCCACAAGGATGCCCTTGGTAGCTGCGTGCCTTCAGGTGAGGAGAGAAGGTTAGCGCTGCCGTCCGCAGCCAGCACCGGGCACCTGCCGGCTGCCTCAGGCCTCGCAGCTGCGGCTCCCTTCGCCCACAAACTGGAGCATCCGCGGGGACAGGGAGTCCCCTACTCTGGGTAGCACGTGAGCAGCCTGTCCTTGGTGTGTAGTTGATACACATGTGCTATATTTAACCACAAACACATCCTCCTCTTGGTCCCTTGAAAGCTAAGAAAACATCGGTGCTGAAGCTGGATGCCTGCTGCCGACGGGCCTGGCGTCTGGAGCCCGGCCCCAGGCTCTGCACCTCCCCTCCCACAAGCCAGGAGCTGGCAGAGCACGGCCATCGCTCTCTCCCACCCAGCACACAGCTGTCCCTGGTGTCACCCTCAAATCAAGCCCCGTGCTCCTTACTCAAAGCCCCCTTAGTGCTCCCTTTCCTACAGAACCAAGTCCCAGCTCCCCGGGGACTTCCTCGTCCCCCCCACCCCGGCCCACCTCCCGCTCCAGTATCTCTGGCTCATGCCACAGGGACTGGCTGAGGCCTGCCTATCCCCACACGCTCTAGGGCTCAGTCTGCTTATTTAGTTTACTGATCCAACAAAGACTCTCCTCCTGTGCCCCTGGGGTAGGGACACAAGACAGGACCAACATATGTGGTCACAGAACTCCTGTCCCTCTGACAGAGCTGCGCCCACCGTGTCCACCCATCCCCCACACCGTGGCCTCTCACTGCCTACAAGAGCCCAGGCTGCAGGAGCCCTGGAGAAGCAGCCACGCCTGCAGCGGGCCTGGCCCTGCACCTGTGTGGGCTCTGGTCCGCCTGCTTAGGACTCTCAAGAACTACTTGGAGAGTACGCCCCTGCCAGCCACAGGGGACCACAGGGCCCAGAGGGAGGGAGGAAGAGCAGCAGACCGACCAGGTGGGCCCAGGTCTGTGAGGGAACCAGCCCCCAGAGCACTGACGCCAACTGGAAACCCAGAGAGGGCGTGAGGCCAGGAGCGCCTCCCCCAGAACGCCCCTGAGAGTCACCCCATGCCCAGCCCAGCAGGCACCTTTTGGGTGAATGAATGTCACAAAGCACAACACAACTCTCGTTTCTTCAAGAAGCTGAATTGGCTATTAGAATAAAACCAGCAGACTCGAACAGTCGTAACAGCCACATTCCAATACCTGTAAGGGTTAGCTCACCAAAATTTAAACTCTGGAAGCCTTCGAATAAAGGGACGAAATTCCTCATTCTGTTTGGTTGGTAATGACGGGCCATCATCTGAAAGGCACAATAACAATCAGAGAGGAAACACCTTTTATATTTTTGTTTCTATCACATTTTTAAGTTTTTCCCCAAGAGGTTTTGAACTAGCAGGCATCATATATGGAAATACCATATATGGATTTATACCACATAACCACAGATAAAATGGGCATCTGTGGTAATTTACAACTCAATTCACCACTTTACAAGAGTCTACTAGAATTTTTTTAAGAAAAGACTTCTACACATGTTAAATACACAGAAGAACCCCAAGGCACACGCATTCTCAGGAACATCAACCGTGCTCAGTGCAGGTCCATAAAGAGCTTGAGGAACTCGAGTTGGCAAACAAGCATGGCAGGGCAGCGGGGGTCATGTGCACCTGCTCACGACGCAGCCAGGCGCTCAGCCACTGCCACGCCAGCTGCTCCCGCCAGGCCTGCGCCCATCTACCCGCCACAGATGGACCAACTGAGGACTACACGAAAGGGGTCTCCCCCGATAGCAGCATTAAATGAAAGGGGTGTGTCCCCTTTAATATTGTCAGTAAACATTCCACAGAGAAAAATCACAGGCTTCTGGTCACATGATTTGAAAACAGTCGTGCTCAGAGGGTTTGTCCCGTAACAAAGAGAGCTGCATCTGCACTTTTTCCAGCAGTGGCAATAGGTGTGCTGGAACGAACGGCTGTCACTTGCTCCCTTCCGCAGGGCTGGCCAGTCAGGCGCACACTCGGCCCAGCTGGTGGGCACGGCCAGGGAGCAGCCTGCACCTTACCGGCATGGCACACACTTGCCAGGAACATTCCACCTCATCACCCCTCAGCAGTCAAAGGCCACCCAGTGTGGCCCCGTTGGCGGCCAGGGTCCCCGTGGTCTCCGAATCACAGCAAGCTGCTGTGGAAACCTAACCAGTGCGTCCCAAGGTGACTCCCAGGCAGGCTGTCTACTCAGCAAGGCGAGATTTGGGGGGTGAGCTCTGGACTCAGACATCCAGGCTCAGATCCCTGCTGCCGTGTGCTCTGCCACGTGACCTTGGACAAGTTACATAACCCTCTGTGCCTCAGTTTCCTCGTCTGCTAAATGGGATAACAGACTGAACACCCACTTCATGGCTATTAAGAGGGTTTAAGTCGTCCTTCTACAAGCAAATGTACCCCAGTCACCCAACATTACAAAGGCACTGAAACCCCAAGAGCACGTCCCAAATGTTTTTAGGGAACATGCAAAGAACACAAAGTCACAACCCTGCCTGAACAAACAGCACAGTGCACAGCTCTACTCATACCTGAGTCTTCCATTAAGGAAGGATCCACTTTGGGAGAAAGAAAAGCTATGAAAAGGTTTAGATGGTAGATTCCCAAGGCGTAGGTCACAATGTACCAACCCTGGAAGAGAAGAGAACACAGCATCAGTGACAAGCTTCAAACATCCGCCAACCTGGACCGATTCATGTTTTAACTCTTCGACTTTCTTTTAACTGATCTGAAAAGCACACAATTTACTTATAGCAAGGAGGTTATAACTCAGGCGACAAGGCAGTACAGTAAACTTCCACAGTGATGGTTTATCTCAGATTACTTTCTGGGTCTGATACTAACGTGGACAACAACCTAGGGCTGAGAGCAAACGTCTGCACGGGTTCGGTCAGATGCATGTGGCACGGGCAGCCACTGGCCCCCGCCCAGGAGGACAACAAAAAAGGAGGCTTTTCTCAAAAACCATGTGCAGAGCTACACACTGGGGCTTGTGCAGCCTGGGCACCAAAGTGGCGGCGTGCATACTGGCCCAGCGCCCCGCCGTGAGCAAGCAGATTCACCTGACATGAGACAGAGCCTCAGCGGCCACTGAAGATATGCTCGCTGACACTCCTCGGTGTACTCACGTCACCAAAGACACTTTGCCAGGAGCGTTCATGATCTTTGTCCAGAAAAAATCCAGGGCCAGGAAATCAAGAATAAGGTTTTTAAAAATGTTTTAAAGCCAAGCCTTCCTCAAGATGCAAAGAAGCAGGACAAATGCTGGCAGGACGCCTGCACACAACGCCCTTACTTGCGACTAATTTATTTTACAAAT